CTCTTGGCTGATTATTTTAGTGTTTATTGAATACCTTGGGAATGGGATGTGCAGAAAGATGGATTGACGTTGAAAAAAAAAGAAGTGATTTCCACTTTAATACAGATGGTGGCAAAAATCTACAGGAATCAAGATGAGGTTTGTTGTAATATGAGGAAAAAACTGGGAAATAAAGCTAAGAGATATTAGGAAAAAGGATGGAAGAAGTAGCCAAAGTATGGAAAAAAGCTGAAAAGGATTTCTTCTTCCATATTATCATGGAATTGTGGAATCCCAGGATGGTTTGGGTTGGAGGGACTTAAAAACTCATCTTGTTCCACTCCATGCCATGGGCAGGGACACCTCCCACTATCCCAGGTTGCTCCAAGCTCCATCCAGCCTGGCCTGGAACACTTCCAGGGATCCAGGGGCAGCCACAGCTTCTCTGGGCAATCTGTGCCAGGGCCTCACGACCTTCACAGGGAAGAATTTATTCCCAGTATCTCATCCCATAACCTTGTCCATGGGAAGCCATTCCCCCTTGTCCTGGCACTCCAGGCCCTTGGCAAAAGTCACTGGAGCAGGATGAGGTGGGTTAAAGGAAGAAGGAAACTCATGGGTTGAGCTAAAACCACTTTAATAATTGGAAAGAAAAGTTAAAATATTGGAAGGGAGGAAAACGCCCCCAAGAGAAACCAATCCCCCCTGTGCCCCCACTCAGCTGCACCCCAACCCCCCAGCCATGGCTCAGGGGGGGCTCCCCTGGGCTTGTCCAGTGTCCCCCTGCAGCGGGGGGTCCCCGTGCCCCCCGGCCCGTCCTGCCGTCCTGGGGACACCGGTGGCTCCGTTCCTGAGCCCTCGTCCTGGCCGGGCACGGTGGCAGAGGTGACAGCGGTGTCCTCGTGGCTCAGGGGGTGCCGGTGGCCACTGCCAGGGCCAGCATTGCCAGGAGGAGCCCAGTGAGGCTTGGGGGTTCCCTGTGGATGCTGCTGCCTGCGGGGGCAGGAGAACAAAGTCAGAGGGAGCTGGGCAGGGGAAAGGGGGACCCACAGTGGGCAGAATCCGAGGGGAGGTCAGTGGAGTTGTGGGGTGTCCAACCAGCCTGTGCCAGGCCAGATCCAGCTATCCTAAGCCATGTCACACCATGCCATGTTGTGTTATCCCATCCCATCCTATCCCTTCCTGTCCCATCCCATGCCAGGAGAGCAGCTGGAGCCGTCCAACGCCGCACACAAAGCTCTGCCACCCCCATCTGCTGACTCACTACAGACCTCCCTCTCCCAGCAGAGCCGGTGCCCTGGTGCCACCCCGGCCCTGTCCCCACACCCAAGCTCAGGTGTCCCCACCCCAGGGATGTCACCTCGGAGCCACGCGCAGTTGTATTTGCTGTACACGCCGTGGGAGCGGAGCTCGATGTGGGTTTTGTGCCCTTGTTGGGTGACACTGGTGACAGTAAAGGTCTCGAAGGGCGGGATGAGGACTTCCTCCTCGTTCGGGTAGTTGGAGAAGTTTCGGATGTTGGCGCCGTGGCAGGTGTGCACCTCGAAGAAGGTGTCGGTGCCGTAGTGCTCGCTGACATTTTTCAGCAGGGAGCTGGAGGCGAACTGGCCAAAGCGGATGGTCCTGCCAGGCTCAGTGATGAACCGGATCCCTTCAATACCCCGGTACACATCGAGGCAGCGGGGGTGGGTCTCCTCATCCCGCAGGTCATCCAGGGCCTCGGTCAGCAGGAAATGCACCACCTTGAAGGGGAAGTTGCGCAGGTACTCCTGGAGGGAGCGCCCCGCGCTGCGCACGGCCCTGTTGAACTCCAAGTACAGGCCCTCCTCCATCGAGTAGGCCATGAGGGCGATGGCCTGTTCCCGCCGCAGCCGGGACCCCACAAATTTGCGGCTGTGCCATTTGATGGTGGCCTTGCGCCAGGCGTCAGCGTAGTCGCTGTTGGTGGCAAACTCAGTGCGGTTGAGCGCCCTCAGCGCCTTCGCCATTTTGATGCGGCAGCGCGAGTACTGGTCATCGAAGGAGTTGGGGGCCATACTCAGTTCAATCTCCCTGAGGGCACTCTTAAGGTCTGGCCGGCGTGGGGGGACGCCAGTGGCCAGAGTCGTGGCCAGCAGCACCAACAGCAGGAGCTCCATGGTGGGCAGAGACTCTGCAGGGACCCCCAGACACTGTGAGGACGCAGGCGGGGCCGCGGCCGCTTCCTCTGGGAGGGACTGGGGAGGTGGGGAGGGGGAGCGGGGTCAGCCCGGGCAGAGGGGGACACCCCCGGCCGCACCCCCGGCCAGGAGCCCCCCGGCACGGCCCAGCACTGCCCCGACCCCCACCCTGGTCCCACGGGCCCCCCGTGCCCAGCACCCCGGCCCCGGCCCCCGCAGCCCCACGGCGTCACCCCGGGACCCCGGCCCCAAGTGTTACCTGTGCCCTGCGCTGGCTGTGGGGTCTGGGTGCTGCTCCCGGCCCCCACTGAGCTCCTGCACAGGGGACACGGGGCTGCTCCGGCTTTTTATAGCCGGGATGGTTGGGCCTGGCTCCAGACCCTCCTTCCTGCTCCCAGGGAATTTTACTGTCCCCCCACAGGCCCTGGAGCAGCCGCTGCCCCTCCAGCCACAGGGACACACAGGAAGGTCCCTTCCCACCCAAACCAGTCTGTGATTCCATGACTGTGAAAAATTCCTTCCTCACAGTTTCACAGCCACTGCCCATTACGGGCAGTGAAACTCAAAGGCCCTTGGACAGCTCTCACCTCCTCCTGCCTGCACAAAGGCCTGTTCCTCACCAGCACCTCACCAGCACCTCACCAGCGCCTCGCTAGTGCCTCAGCAGTGTCTTACCAGTGCCTCACCAGTCCCTCACCAGTCCCTCACCAGCGCCTTGTGCTCTGGTGTCACTCAGTTATCGGTCACTTTCTGTTCATTGCACGAATATTTCTGATTCCACAGAATGAGGGATGCAGAGCACACAGAGCCCATGTCCTGCCCTGGGTTGGTGTCCCAGGTGTCCCAGGCTGTTCCTGGGCCATTGGGCTCTGCTCAGTGTCACACAAGTGTGGGTGTGAAAGTGCCACTGTCAGACAGTGAGGAAGGAGTATCTGTTCTCTGAAAGATAAATGAGAGAGAAATGAGATAAACAACCACAGTAGGATCTGGTGTGAGGGTGAAGAGCTGCATGCAGGGCAAAAGTAGCTGGGACAGACAATTGTGTCTGGAGAGGAATTGGATAGAAGGGTTGGCTGACAGTGCTGGGCTGGAGCAGGGATAAACTTCAAAAAGCAGGAGAAACTGGGTAAGAAAGAGAAAGAGTGACAAAGCAGCCAGGAAACTGTGAAAGCAGTAGGGGCTGGAACAGGTAGGTCCCAAGACAGGTCAGGGGTAGCCAATCACTTTGCACTTTGGCTTTTGTCACAAAGCAGTGCCTGGGCATCGTGTCCCAGAAGGGACACATGTGGGCTTTGATTGCCTGTTGTGCCCTGTGCAGAGAAAAGGGATGGAGGTACCTGCTCTTTGTCTCTCCTATTACAGCACTTGTTTCTCCAGCTCTGCCACGTCCCTTTGACTTCTGTTCTGTGTGTGGGCATGGGCTAAGCTCTGTTCATAAGGACCTGTTTCCTACTCCTGGTTGCCTTCGTGCACCATCTCTGGTCCCACCAGGCTTTTTTACAAGAGAAATATTGCTGCACCACAGAACTTCACACTGCGGCAGGGGACTGTTGCAAAGTGTTTTCCTAAATCTGGAAAACAGATTTTCCAGTTACGTG